TTCCAACATGCTTCTCCCTATGCATATTAACAGTATAGCAATGGTTGCGCCTTCTCAACAGCTCAGTTAGGCTCATTTCTCTGCCAACACAGCTGTACATTCTTATTCCCTTTGGCTATAACTGGTTTAACTACCTTTTCTGATTTAAGTCACTGAAGTTTGTTGCACACAGCAATGGCAAGACTAGAAAGCTGTATTTATTTATGTGTTTTTATGGTTTCCTCTGACTAGATGTAATCAACTACTAGCTCTTCACAACTGACGTGCTCAGATGAGACAAATGCCAACCAAACTATGTGCAGCTAACTGATTAGCCTTCAAAGGTTAGTTACTCTTTTCTGACAGTTTAGCAGCTGGGATCGCCTATGCAACTGCTCCCTCCAATGCTAGCAACATTAGAGCTATGTAGACTAATAATCCTTGGTTTCTATACAGTATTCAAGACAATGTTCATTCAAAATTTAAGTGCCATCTTGGGCAAGGTCTATCCACAACTTATTCTGTACAATTTGGCATAGGATATTTGCCTCCTGAAACTGAGATGGAAGATAGTAAACTTGTTATAAACTTTACCATGTATAATTACTATTACTGTGTTAATGTCCATGGAAGGAAGCAGTTCACCTCTTTTCTAAGCCATTAACACTGCCAGCTTTAGTTCAAACTTAAACCACTCCTGGATTTAAGGCTCACCTTCAGTTCTTAATACACAGGAGAGCAAACTAAGTTTCATCTCTGAACAGAGCTAACCAGTTCCTAGACTGGTTTCACCTTGCATGTTTTGATTTGCCCACATCTCAGTCAGGTTACTTTATGATTTTCTTCCACTTGCCCCCAGCGATGCTATCAGGGCAACAAACAGGCTGGGTCCTGAATACCAACAGTGTTAAGAGAACTGCAGTTGCACAGGATATACCACTGGCTCTTACGTAAATGGCAGAAAGGAGCCAAGTGGATTCCCAGTCCTAGTGACATTGTAATGGTGAAAAATCCAGCTTTCAACTCAAACCGAACCATTGATGCTGAAAAATTCACTGAGACAGGTTAAGTACTTAATAGCATAAATCCTAATGTTTTATTTACCAGGACAAGCACAAAGCTGATTCATTTTCCCCACAGTCAATTTAAATAACCCAAACACCACATGAACAGCAAGAATCAAGTAGCTCTATGCTACAAGTTTCCAGAATTCCATTCCTGGAATCAATTTATCATCTCTGTGTATACTATGACCCCAAAAAGTCAGCTTATTGTGTCTTTTTATTATTATTGTTTAAAAAAGCCCCTTTATCTACAAAACTATCTGAAGTGCATTCATCCTTGTGGCTGAACAGAAAGAGCAGCATCCACCAAACTGCTGGCAAGCATCTGCAACGCTTGCTCATTAACAATTTCAACCATAGTGTCTTTGAATTGGAAAATCAGCTCCAAAAATTTGCTTTTGTGGAAAGAAACCTTCTCCATCTCTCTTACTCACCTTGTTCTACTATATATCAAAGCCAAATGTGATGATATGCAAGATACTCATGTACATTGTCAATGTGCTCAAGATGTTCACCACTCTTGAGGACAACTCTTCCTTTGAAGGAATTTTCAAAGTGATCACAAATCAAGTATGTTTTGTTTAAGACCACATGATGGTCTTCTAGCCAATTATGTGCAGGACAAGCAATGTAAAGTAAAATAGGACAGGCATACAGCATTCAGCTAGTAATGTAGCGGAGTTTCAGAAGCAGTATTGGAAGCACCACTACCAAGAACCCATAACATGGCTCTGCTATCACTTTGGCTGTTGGAGTGGGTTTTTTTGCAGCTTGGATGAAGGAGCAAGTAATATACTTGGTATTCATATATAATTACATTCCCATAACTGTCTTCAGAGAGATTGAGGCTTGCTAATCACTTACATGCATGAACAGTACAGAGAACTAACAGATTATTTTGAACAGAAATCAAGACACAAGAAACTACTGTCCCAATTCAGGCAGCACATTTGCATGCCATCCATCTTATGTTCTCTATAGGCAGCCATTCAGCTTTTCACAGCATCTGTATTTTGTCTGTGCTGCCTCCTACTAATACCCTATGTAGTCACTAGCAGCTTGCTGGAAAGATCTGAAAGGAGATTATTTACTTTTTTTAGTTATGTAAAGTTTTAGTAACTACAATATCTTATATTGTAAGTTTAGAGCCTGCAGATATTTCATTAGATTTAGAAATATCCTTAAGTATGAGAGGAGAGAATTAACTTACTCTTGCAAAATAATACACAAAAAACCCCTTTTGTGCTCAAAAACTAACTGCTTTCTACTACTTATTCCTCTGCTACAGACCATCTCAGTCTGACATCACAGTTTCCACAAAGGTTTGATGCAATGCAGGACAACAGTTTTTACAAATAGTCTGTGGTGAACAGAAGCAGGCAGAGAAAGAAGCTGCAAAGGCTCTATTCAACAAAGCATTCTTGAAGCCATTAAAAGATATAGCTGTGGCCCAAAAATGGGGTTGGGAGCTAGCCGTCTACTGTTCTGATTCCAGTCTCCAATTCCTGTGCCCTTATAAAACCATTGCCCGATCTCAGTTTTCCTTCATCCATTCAGCTTAACTAATTTAAAAGCAGTGAAATTTTTGTAATATGCAGTTGATTCAGAGGTGCTTACAGTGACCCAGTATAACATTTCTCTTCCACTGTTACGTCCACAGTTTGTCTTCCACTGTTAACAATTCTTACCAGTACCACTCTACTCCACATTTAGTCATAGTCAAACCAACTGCAAGCAGTGGTCCTCCAGAACCCCACCTGTAATTCCACAGAATCCAAAAAGAAGTTTTTCAGCCAAAGCCCTTAAACAAGGAAAAAACTTTTGTCATGCTATCACTAAGCAGCTGCTCAATTCGCCCAATTGAACTTTTGCCAACTTTATCTACCGAAAATGCCTACAAAGTAATATTATCTCTAAAGCCTTAAGACAATTTAAAAAATGCATGACTGGGAAACAGCACTGTACAGAAAATGAGCAGAGAAGCACTTTCATGCAGGGATCATCCTGTGAGGTGCTTATCCCAGCTGAAGGCTGATTTAGATGCCTAGAAAGCCACTAACACTTTCATGAGACCTGTAGCTGAGAAATCCCGAGTATGAGCAGACAGGACTTTGGCTATCCAGCAGTTAGATCCAACACTTCCGAAAAGCGCTACAGTTCGTATAGAAATCAGATGTACAGAGGTTTCTTTGAAATGACACAGCCTTCAAACACCAAATCAACTTATTTTCTCAATAGAAAGAGTGCCTAAGAATTCTGGTACTCCTTAGCACCAAATTAGCAGAATATAGCCTGACATGCATTTTAAGCAATATGGCAACAAAAAAGGCCTTTTATTTTTTTGCCAGATTGATTCCTGATCTGGTTCACCTTTCAGCTCTGATGGATCTTGCCGGCATAATGCCAGGAGAACAGTCTGGAGTGGAAGTTGCTTCCATTCTCCTGACTTGAATGAATATCACACTGTAGCCTCAGAAAGGGGCAAAAATGCCTTCATTTGAATACTGCAAACAGAAATCAGTTACACATTCCTTGCTTCCCACTTCATTAAGCAAAACAGATACTGGAAGAAACCCAAAACAAGCAACGCCTGAGCAGACCACAGACTGTTGGCAAGTCATCAGCTAAAAAGAGCTCAGTTGCTTTTAAGACGATGGCAAGACTCAGCCCTTTTGCACAAGTTTTCATGTGGTTTGAAGCTTGGTTCATATCTGTTCTCAATAGCAGCACTGGGAACAACTCTTGGCTAGTACAGGTATCTCACATGGACCACTCGGAAGCACTCAACGCTAGCACAGATACAGGCTGCTGCCTGGCTGTACTTGCCTGTGTGATGACCTCTCCTTTGAGCAACCACCAATGCCAATTGCTAGCACTAACTCTGTTCTCAGATAAAGTAAGCAAATTGAATGAAATTTATTATAAGAGAAAAATCCTTAAGTCATTTCTCCAGTGAGCTTTTTCACTGCAGGAGTTATCTGTCAGGTTAGTTGGTCAGATGACCCATGTTCAAAAGCAAATACAGTTCTTCAGTATACACCACCACCTCGTGGCCAGATGCCTGAAACTCCCATAACTGAATACATTCTGCAGTTTGAATCCTAAGAGCCTCTGAACTGACTACCACTGACAGAGCCTCAAACTACACTGTCATCCTGTGGGAGCTGCTCACAACTTTTTAACTACCTGTGAAGAGGGAAAAGTATCCTACATGCAAAATGCTGTACCATTTCAATTTCGAGGCAGCCTACACATCACAAGTACAAGTTATTTACTTCATGCTATAACTGAAGGAAGCTGCTATCTACTAGGCAAATGAGACATGAGAATTTGTATTTTTTGACTTTGAATGCACTGAGACTAGTACAGATTTCCCCTCAGTTTCATAGTGAAAAAGGAAAACTAAGATAATAAAGATGAATATCCTGAATTTCTTCTCCTAGTACACTAAATCTACTCATCTTGAAAACTGCCTCTAACTCTCCAGGTAAAAAGAAACATTCCCGTATTTACTTTAACGGAGGTACAAACATCAAATTATACTAGAGATGACAATCAAAAGCATAGCCCCTGGAGTTACCAGCAGACAAGACAGTAAAAGATACACAGCAAAATACTCTGAAAGCAATCTAAAAGTGGGGCAAATAACAAAGGATAGACGATTGGGAAGAGAAAGAGGTAGGCTAGAAAAGCTAGACACAGAACAAAAATCAATACAAGACAATACTGTGCCTTGGATAAGACTAAGATGACTTACCTCTAGCTGGAAATTCCTTATGCTGTTATTAGGCTGATTTGCCAAGTAGGATAGTAAATTGGTTTATTGCTCCAGAAATTCCAAGTCTACATATACTAACAGATAACTATGAATGTGCCCGCTGAATGAGTTACCTGTCAAAGTGATAACGAGGCTATTTGGCTTCCCCCTTCCACATGCTTACTGTTAGAAAGACTCACCAACAGTTGTACCATCTTCACCCATAATGCACTTCATGGAGGTGATGATTTGCTCCACAACAGGAGGTGACATTGATGTTGCATACACAGCACTGTGAGAGTATGTCCTGAGGTAATCAATGAGTTCCTAGCAAAACACAAGAGGCATGAGACATTGCCTTCCCAGTCCTCAGAAAAATGCTTTATTGTCATGTCTTAAATCACACAATAAAACAGGCCACTACAAGAAACCTCTTTCAGAATGTCCTGAGAGAGAGCAGGTAGCTCAAGGACTGATTTTACAGTACAAGCAATAAACAGTTGAAGAGCAAACAGCAAGGACATGGCAACCCATAATTATGTCACAGGGCAAGAATGTGTGTTGATCGAAGACAAATGCCTACGACAGGTTTAGGTAACACCACCAGCACTGGATTGCAACAAGGTGTTTGCATTACTCAAGCTGTGCACAGGCCATGTTTCAAGAGTGTTTATTATAACAGCGGGAGTATAAAACAAATGAAATAGTGGGGAACAGGATCCGTAAGTGCTTAAGTATCATGCTCAATATAACTGTTTCCCCACTAAAGTCATCAAACAGGGGAACAGGTCACAAAATATTGTCTCCCATTTATCAGCACAATACAAATAAAGCAGCAGGTGTAATAAAGCAGCAGTGCAAGAACCTCAGCCTACCCCTCCTGCATTTCCCAGTTAAACACACCTGCTACAGTTGATAGAGGGCAAAAGCAGGTCATATAGGAACAAAGGACCAACACACTGTAGATCTAGGCTGCCTGTTGTTAACTGTAACAAAACCACTCTAAAATACCCAGACCACTCCAGCAAAATATTATAAAGATCAATATGAATGCCAGAACATTCTTTTGCTATCACAAAACTAATGATGGCCTTGTAGATAGCACAAGCTGGAAACACATTATAGAAATACATGGAACTGTTCAATTTTACGTTGCTGTCTGCATGGACTCAAGAGTTAAATGAAAGGAAGTTGTAAAGGCACTTCGAAATAAACTAGGTAAGAAGAATTAAGGCCTCTTACCTCTGAAGCAATCACTCTAACAGTAGCTAAAACACAGTTGCAAAAGACTCTTAGCTGCTTCACCTAACACCAAGGATGTTAATCCCAGTAGCTCGCTACCTTTGGAAAGATTAATATGGTGCTTTCTTCTGGGGAAGATGTCAGAGTAATTTTAATCCAACTATAGTAAACTCCCAAAGAGGAACATCTGCAAGCTGCATCTTCATTTTGATGGGCTGAAGTAATTGTCACTATTGGTATCTTAAAAAATTACTGTTCTGGTAGGAAGATGGTTGAAATTCACAAATAAAGCTTAGAAGCCTGACCTGTGAGATACATTTGAGGATATGAGAAAAGGGACACATGCAATTGTCTACATTATCCCTCCCAAAAGGAGAGGTTTGGCAAGGGCAACACTTTCTAGTAGCACTTTCCAATAGAAGAGAGTCAGTAGCCAAAAAACCAACCGAACAAAAAACCACCACCAAAACCAGAAAGGGAAGAAGTGTCTTTTTAGATAGCAAACTGTTTGAGTCCAGAGAGACTCAATTCTACCAGACTAACCTAAGAAGGGGATTTTCCTCCAAATAGGCTGAAAAACTTGAGCTTTTGGCATTCTTCCTGCAAGTCTCATTAAAAGTAAGATTAAGAAATCCCTGCTTTCTGGCTCCTAGCAATTCCTAAAAAGGTATTAGACCACTACTGTACGTTCTGCAAACTGAGATCGTGTGAGAACTATACAATTCTGAGGTATTTTACTAGACTAGACTCTTCTGCATTGCACAGACTTTCACTGTACTAGACAGTATGTAAAATTATGAAACAAACGGACAATCAGTGTACTTAAGAAATAGATCAACTTTGAAACGCTTAGTGAAGGACTCCACCACCAGCCTGAAACAGCCATGAGATTCCCAGCTTTTTACCTTCTTGCCCCCAATGTATCCTCCAGCAGCTCCAAAGCTTTTGGTGAATGTTCCCATCATAACATCCACATCTTCAGGATTGAGTCCAAAATACTCCACTACACCCCGGCCACTGGGACCCAGGGCACCTATACTATGAGCCTCATCAAGGTACAGATAGGATTTGTACTTCTTCTTAAGGGCAATCACTTCAGGCAAACGGACTATGGATCCCTCCATACTGTTGAGAAACAGAAATTCAGTGTAAGTTGATTTAATGGTTGGGGCCTCCTTATACCACCTAAAGTCAGTAATCTTTCTTTTCTTGACTCTTTCAGTAATTATGAACACATAAAAATTGCTAGACACATCGTGTTCTGTAGAGATGAAAGATAACTCCTCCTTGCAAATGGGGCCCAGATCTCTACTTTCTACCTGTTTAACATTTCTGGGATGCTGACATACAGACTACATATTAGCAGCTACAGTAAGTTAAGGCAAAGGAATGTGTTCAATGACAATTTTATAAATTATCTCATTTTTACTTCCACTCTAATGTCAGTATTCTCACCTGACATCTACTTACCTGTTGCTTTTAAGAACTGACTAGGCTCTCATTAGTAGCACTCCAAAAAGTCCCATTCTGTGCTGAAAGTGACTATGATTTAAATGCCAACACAGCTAAGCCTACTACATGCTCCTACTCACTCTCAGCAAAAACATTCAATTTGCACAATTCCATTCACACTAGCATCATCTAGTGAGCACAGAAAGAATGGAATGGACAAGCAATTTAAGACCTCAGCTCTGATGTAAATAATCAGTTTAATTAATTTCTACAATCTAATCGGAATGTGGGAAGCATTGTAATAACACCAGGTGCAGCTTCAGTACTAGCAACAGAAAATCTAGGATGTGAGACATACATAGCTCAATTTAATTTGCAGATGAGATAAATGAAATAACTATGAAGTGACAATATTCATAGTTTGATTTGGCAAAGGAAACCAAATACTAAGCAGCTAGATCTCATGTGGAGGGTCTTAGGAATATAAAGAATAGTTTGTACCTGTATATTCCTTCCACCAAGATAAGAATTTTTTTCCAGGGCCTCCGTGTACGAGGTTGCCCATGCACAATAGCATCTTTGAGCAGCTTCTCCAGGCTTTGCATATCTGCACCAGAAATTACTGTTAAATGGTACCAAAACAGCTACTAGCTTGAGCTTTGACATGACTAAAGACAGCAATACTCCAGAAACGCAAAAATTGCTCCAGTGTGGAGGACAGACCATATATAAGTCAATAAGCATGGGCTTCACCTAGCTGCAGGCCCACAGATGAGATTAAAGGGAATGGGTGACTGTATGAACTCCAAGGAAGAATTTCATCATCCTAAGCTAAAAGCACAAATTAGAGCATTAGGCACAAACAGTAAACAAGGAAGGAAGGAAAAAAAAACCCTAAGAAAAAAAAAAAACAGAAGGTATCTCATTGTGAGGAAAAGAGAAAGCAATTTAGGTAGTAAGCGTGTCCTTGTGGATAGAAATAACTCAAAAAAGAACAAGCAAGCTCAAGGTTAATCAACTAAAGATAAGCAGAAGATATACCAGAGTGCAGGACAAGAAGGGGAGCAAGTGTACTTTTTTTACTCCTTTGTTTAAAATTTAAGGGACTGGAGATGTGGAACAGGAAGCTACTAAACCAAAAACAGAAAAGGAAGAAAAAAGAACCACCAGTGTAGGAAAGAGGACAGTGCTCAGCATATCAGAAACTAGACAAATGAAGTTGTTAGTAGCAATGTATTCTGAAACCTTACTAGCTTTGGCTATGCACATTTGACATGATCCTAGGAAACCTGACTAATGTGAGCAAATAAATACACATGAAATCAGTCCTGAAAAAAAAAAAACCCCGAGGAAAGGAGTGGAGATGGAAGTAATCAAACCATAAAAGCTAAATTGCTGAGCAAGAGACATATAAACACTAGGGCATGAAAAAGAGCATGAACAATCATGAAAAGAGGATTGGTAGACCAGGGCAGTTGTAGCAGCAAGAGGAGCTTGTGAACTAGAACTAGACTAGAAATTATACGCCAAAATAGGTCTGTTAATACACTGTTAGAAGACAGCTAATGTTCAGAAAAAGACAAAGATGAAGTCAGCAGCAGAGTCCCTGCCTCCAACAAGTCTCTCAAGGAAGAAAGGAGGAATTTAGTGCAGTTAAGGAGAACAATTGAATATAAACTTCTGCTCTGATCTCTCGAGAAAGAGGGAAAGACTGGGAACTAGGTCTGACCTTAATAAAAAGGGCAAACTGCAGAATGAGGTAGAAAGAAAAAAAAAAAAAAAAGAAAACATTGAACTAGGATTTTAAGGGGGATTTTTCATTTCCCCCCATAATTTCTAAAAAGCAGAATGTGAATGAAGCCATTATCATCTCAGGATAATGAGGTTAACTAAGGCAGCATAGAGCATAACAAGAGTAGGACTGAGAACACATACATAACTATGAAATGAACATCATCTTGACAGGTCAAGATCATTGCTTGCATTTTGCCTTCTGATTCTAATCTGCCACTCCATTCTCTTTCACAGATTCCCACCATCTATAAGGTTTCTAGAATACTCCCTAATCTCACCAATGCTAGTTTGCACTCCATTCCCACAGATCATCTATTTTTCCTCATCATACCAGAGCTTCTAAGTTCTTCTCATACCCAGAACTATGTTTGTCACCAGTGTTCTCTGAAATTCTCGAACTGGATGCAACGTTCAGAAGTATGTCTATACAAATGCAGAAGCTGAATGCAAAGCTTTTGTGATCTTGCCCAGCAATCAAGATTTATGAAGAATTATGAAAAAAAATTTTTAAATCATCACTGAATGTTACAGTAAGCTCGACACTTCTGTAAGGAATATTATTCAAACAATAGAGAACAAGAAAGAGAGAACACAAAAGAAACAATAAGCACAGCAGAGGATCCACTACCAAGTAGGACAAAGGAAAATAATTGCAGCCACCCAAGCTTTGCTGTCACCACCACACACTTCAAAGAGTGAAAGAGTCATCATGACCTCAGAGATACCATAAAGAGTATTAGGAGCAGCTGAAGAACAAAGGTAGTGGCTTTACTAGTCAAGGACAACCAGGTACCTCTTTCACTAATAACATGAGAAAGAAACCCTAAGTATTTTTGATCTGAAAGTTATTCTAAATACCTCCTTTGGAGGAAGGTGAAACTAGCAAAGTGAAAACTCTGTGTATTTTGGAAACAACTACTTAAAGCAAGTAACTCAGTGAAATTAATCTATGCTTCACATCCCAAAAATTCCTTTGGTACTACATTGTATCAATGTATGGCTGTCTGGTTTAGCTAGGACATCTGCATCCATAAGCTTTTGTTATGCATCATGTCAGCATCTGGTCCTAAAGTTAAACTTTCTTATCCCCCAAACTGTAACCTAGACCACTACTAGATTGCATTACTCTGTGACACAGACTGTTAGAACAGTCTAACCATTCTGAGCTATCCAAGTAACAAGAAGCCATTTTAAAACACCAGTGCCCCTAGACTTGCCAAAGAGCAGCATCTTCCTCTTCATATGCAAAGGATGTAAGCTAGAACAGCTTCAGGATAAAAATGTTCAGACTGAACATAAAAAAAAAAAAATCCAATTCATGGTGGTTATATTCTCAGTAGCAGCAATCTTCTGACCTTTCAGGTAACCACCAATTGATTTCCTTGCATGAAATTGGATTTCTAACTATGAGAAGATAGAAAAGATTGTATCTGATCTATAGCATCTACAGAAAGGTAGAATACACCATCTGATACTTACTGTTGTGCTTAAAGATTCGAATAGTTGCTCCTGACAGTCTTGCTCCGAGCACTAGTGATGCATGATTCAGTTCATCACTCAAAATCAGACAGCCCTGAATTAGAAGGGGAAAGAGGAAGATACCGAAAAGGTTATGTTTCACAGCCAAGCATATAACACCTTTCAGCTCTGAACTGCTTAGAGATCATTTAAGGGGGGGAAAAAAATAAAAAATAAATATTTCCAACATAAACGCAACTATTCCAGACAAGACTTGCTAAGAAACAATTTGCAGCCTTAGTACGGCAAATAAAAATGCACCACTGCTGTTAACTGAAAGAACCACTTAAGCTTCACATTTCGCAGAAGTCCTGCAGCTGAATCTGCCAGAATATCTCATGCTGATGATTAGTACTCACCCTCCTATGCAGCCAGGTAAAACAGAAAGCAGAGCAGCTTGCCACAGTTCACTCAGCAATTCTACAGTGGTGCTAGGAAACAGGCCACCGAAGTCCTAGATTACAGACGTTATCAAAGTTGCACTATTTCTGACATTAGGAGGTAACCGCTGACTAAACCCATGTGTACTCAGTGGTACCAACAGAACTATTAAGTACTTTGTAGATGGAAGCAACATACAAGACAAAGTAAGTGGAAAACAAAATTGCACAGTGAAATTGAGAAGTTTTCTGAAGTCATTAAACATTACATTGAATTTGTTTGCTTTTTCAAAAAAGGGAAGATATATCCTTGGACAAATATCAGAACTGGACACGTCTGTTTTGAGAGCACCAATAATTACAGGTCAATAGCTGATAGGGTGAACGGCGTCACGGCGTTATCACTGCGGACTACAGGAATGCATATTGGGGAATTAGTTTGTAAGAGAGCAATAATATTACTAAATAACCTTGGCCCACTCCAATTATTATGCAAATCTGCTGCACCTCTAGAAGTGACTTTAAGTTAAAAATCCAGAAAGCGTGTTGAGATGCTGAAGATTTGACACTAAACACATGCTCATTCTATGTTTCTCTGTTAACAACTGGTGGAGGGAAGAGTCAGGAACATTTCATCTCTGCAATGAGAGTTACTGGAAGGGACTGTGAAAAGCATTGCCTACAGTTACACAAGGAGATGTCACAGAAAATAGGAGTATTTTCTCCACAATAAAGGAAATTTTGCACTAGGATTGCAGTGTACCTAGGAATATTCTGCATCCTGGGGAAGACCGAGACTGGTTTTCCCCAGAGATTGTATTAAATCTCAAGTGTTCAAACTGCTGTTACAAGGATTCATACTGCATATTTCAGAGACTTTGGCATAAGAAGCTTTTGCTCTTTGGAACTACTATACCAGACAAGGACTACATATACTATGTCAGAGGGCATTGCTGTTAAACACTACTGTATTAAAAGCTGAATATAATAATCCAGTACTAGTATCCTTCTTAAATGGCAGGAAGTAGGAAAAATGATAGATTAAAAAAAGAGAAGAAGATATTAATAGTCTAGAAGGAGCTTCTCCATAAAAACAAGTACGAGCTTTTGGTAGAGAAAGAAGATTTAACAAATCAATGAGCAGCCTCTTGTCACCCCCCCTGTAACAAAAGAGGAGCTTCAATTAGACAAAATTAATTTAAAACTGAAGAGGAAGTATAGCATCTAGTATTGTCTGCCACTACAGAGGGCAAAGGATCAAAGAAGCCACTGGTACAGTACAGCAATTATTGATGACAATATGTAAAACTGAGTGCTGCTACTACAGTGATAAGATTTCAGTTGCATTTATCAGCAAACTTATATTTGAGAGAGTATCCAGAAGACTAACACTAATTGGAGATCACACTGCTGGTACCAAAAAAAACAAATGCCAGTGAGGATCAGACTTACCAATGCTTCCTACAAGGCAGATGTGGAAACTGAAGTGAATGCCACATTTTACTACAAAGTGCTGCATAAGTGAATTGCGTAACTCAGACCTGAGCACCTAATTTCACAAATTAACTATACATGGAGATGAATTTGTTTTCTTACAACCAAAAAAAGATTCTTCAAGCACTGTTGCTCTAACTCCATTATCTAGCCTCTGTTATTCCAGAGCTATGATGAAAAGCTCTGTGCTAAAGGCAGTACAGAATGCTATTATTAGTTAGTTACACTAACTACATTAATGACGCTTACTCTAAAACAGGCAAGTTTCAGAGTCTAGCTTAGCCTCAAATGGTCTAACAACTTCTGACTATGTAATCCTCAAATCTCCCATTATCTGTGGTCTAGACTCAGCATACTTGGTAGTGACTGTACTAGGCAGCCAACAACTTGGCTGTCAACAGCGGTTACTGCCAGGTGCAGAAAGACCTGGTTTTAGTGATGCTTTACCAGTGCTGAAATACAACTTTCAGCATACAACAACACTTGTTTTCAGCATTTGCTTAGTAGAAGCTGCTGTTAACAAGGCACAGTGAATAAAAATCAACTAGGTAATGCTGATGAAGCGTTTGAATTCTTTTTGCTGACCAGTGCCGATCAGGTTATGGGGTAGAGCGAGATCCTAGGATAGTCAAGTCATATTTGTTGCTATTAAGAGAAGATTCAGTAGCAACATAAACCAAGCACTTAAGGATTCCACAGAGCAAAAACAGAACAGGTGGTCCAGTATTACATAAATGTAAGTTTATTGCAGTAGTTTGTGTTCTAAGCTAATTAAGTTGCAATTATAGGTACCCAGATACAATGTAAATAATGATTAACTTCAAATTGTATCAGTGACTGTCAAAGAAACTCCTTCTGGCCAAACGCAGATGCTATTACTGATTGTATTTGCCAAACCTCCAAAAATTCATGTTCCAAGCAACTTTGCATCTGAAACCATATGTAGGACATGCAGAAAGACACAAACAGCAGTTAAAAAAAAAAAAAAAACAAACAAAAAACCCAAGAGGTTAATCAAGCATGGGAATCTCTGGGCTTTACTGAGGACTCTACGAAGGCATTGCCAAACAGGCTGTGCACACACAGCCAATTGTGTACTGGGTGGTGCCAGAATTGAGGATTTATGCAAGTCCTTATTTGCAGACAATGAAGAAATCAAAAGTGCAGTGAGAAGCAACTTCAGGCAGCCAAAAAAAGCATTTAGCGAACATCCTGAACGGCAGAATGATTCATTTGACAAGAACTCTTTTCTTTGGAAGACTGCATTTTCTGTTTGGAGCATTCACCTGAGTATAAGGGCACTTCTAACTGTTATGAAGCAGAAGCTTCTTCCTACTTTACTTAAAGCACACAAAAACTAAGTATGCTCATTACTATCACAGTACAGACTGCTGTATCCATTTATGAAAAGAGTTAGTTTAGTAAATGTACAAGTTATGTGCATGAAAACAGGTATGTTACATGCCTTGGAATTTACCGTTCAATTTCTCTCAATGGTTGTAAAAAACTGTTAAAGTTCAAATGTGAAAACTAAGGAGCTGAATAAGGTGTTTTAAGGGTATTCTCATAAGCTATTAAAGATATACAGTGAGATCCACACACACAGAAAAAAACATTGAGTAACTCTGCAGCAATGGACAATTCGTACTGACTTAGAACAGACAGAATTCTACTTAAATGCATCTGAGTGTGTGTTCTGAATCCAAAAGGCCTCACAGAAATCATTAATCATTTTTCTGTTGAAGAGAAAATCAGGAAGATGTAGGAAGACAAAGAGCAGAAAAACACAAGTAAAAGATATCTCAGGAGTAATATATGTTGTTCAAAATCATAGCACTGCAGAGGTATTTGACTCCAGAAAGACTAGATTTGAAGCACTGAATTTCTCTTTGACATTGGACTCAAAAACATCTTTCATTATGGAACACATCTAATATTTAAAACTTAACAGACCAAAAGAAAAGAGGCATTATGTAGACAGTGCTGCTTCATTGTTACAAATAAAATAGCATGCAGGAAGACACTACAGCTAGTCAAGAAGAGATTCACCAGGAGGAAGAGTTGCTGGGAAGAACAAGACAGCAATTTTATAATCTGCAGATATCACAAGTGGAAGAATTTACAAATTGATCTCAGAAAGTGAAAAAATAAATAAAGGGAATAAAGGGAAAATAATTCACTACAAAGGGACAAAGAATTCTAATAGGCTAGTAGTATTAGGCTAACAGTGAGTCATGTTCAAAAAAAGAGGAAACAGTTCCAGTAGTTGCACTATTTTACCCCAAGTAGGAGCTAAGAGAACATATATTTTGCACCAGAAGAAGCAAACAAAGAGCTCTCCTCTATTTCATTTTCCAATAACTAAAAAAAACTACAACATAGTTTGAGATGCAGGACACCCAGGCTGCATTGTGTACTGTTTTATGGGGCACACAGTAGACATAATCTATCTTTACATTTGACCTTGTTTCTCTCAAACAGTTTTTCTACTAGGATTTTGCTCCTTCAGAGAAGGATTTTTCAGATGTCACTCAATGATAATAAATTCTGTACGTACCAACATGCAATTCAGCTTATCTGTGTGTCTCACTGATACAGTCACTTCTTAGTGTCTCAAGAGCATCCAAATACCTTCAGCCAATCAGCCTGCTAGTCAGCCACCATTTCACACACTAATGGAGTAGCCCAAGGAAGCAAGCCTTAACATGCTAGGCTCTCTCCCAGAAAGAGGGCAAGATCTGGACTGTTACTGGTCCAATGGATGCTATTTCCCAAAAAGATTTTTGCAAACGTTAAGAGATGTGGACTGTGACTGCCAGTTTCCATAGAGAATATCTGTCACTGAAGGGGTTGCCACTGAAGAAAAACAAACCCAAACAAGTAGCTTTTAGAAAACCCAACCAGCAGAATCTTCGTTAGATGAGCTTTTGCCAGTGACTTAAGCCATACCTTGCCAACCAAAGCAGGAATGTTCATAGAGTTGGTTGCAAACCCCATTCCATATGTCATTGCAGATTCCACACCTAGGAATCTGGCAACTAGCTTTTCCAGCTCCTCATGTTTGTCCAAGTTACCTGCACATAAAACAAATGAGAAATTCAGAGTGAGGAGAAGCTTTCACTATTGCTATACTCTACGAGAAGAATTTTCACCAACCAGGCTGCTCTTTATTTAAAGGCCCATAAGGGAACACTGAACAAAAATAGATATGAAAACATAAGTGAGCCAACTGCTGTGCCATGTAAACTAAAACCAGCAAGTCATTAGTCTTCACTAAAGTAAAAGCTTCTTTATTGATTAGTCTAAAGTTCAAAAGCTAGAACAAGTAATGTTTAAAAGAACTGCGATCAGATTACAGACTTTGAAACACACATTGAGGGAACTCACTCCAACTTACCCATCTCCTGCCTAGTGCTGCACACCCCAGCTCCATACTGGGACAGAACTTTAGCTGCCGCTTCTTGGCAAGGCCCAGCCTTCTGTGCAAATCCAAGGTAGTTGTAAGAACCCATATTAATAATGTCCTTTATCACTTTTCCTGTATACCTGTGTTTTAAAAACACCACAAGATAGGACACACACAATTTAAAAAATTAACTACACCAGAGGATTCTGATTTCAGTTTCCTGGAATATACACCGAAATGTTAAAAAACAGAACCAAATGTTAAATTATTTCAGTGCTGTCCCTCATCATCAAACTGAAACGATCAGTGAAAAAGATGCTTTCCCTATTTTATGGTCTCAAGCTAGTTCCCACAACAGTTTACATTAAAAGGCACACTTGCTATTATATCTAGCATTGCTTGAAGGTTCTCAAACTGTGGGGGTTTTTTTGCTGGCATGTCCTCCCTCCATCCCAGAAACATACAACTTACTTTTCAATTACAAAATAAGATCTCTAGATCAATTAACTTGGCAGCCCCTTAAGCAGGATATCCTCTAACCACAGAAAGGAAACACATCTGGCACTACTGTGCTAACAATACGTGACAAGGAGATTAAGGAAGAAATTTAGCAGGAAAAAAAAGTTTTAATTGAAAGCCAAGAAGAGACATGACTAGTTTCACCAAGTACTGTGCTGCAAACCTTTTCACATCAAACCTTGTGACAGGCCATTTCCAATTTGTAAAAATCCTTGTCCTTGCATTTCTGATTTTGTTCTACAGACTACTTCAGTTCTGACTCAAAACAATCGTGATAAATTCAGTTTCAAGCAGCAACGTCAGTGTTAGGACTGATTCCAAATCAACACAAAGTCACAAGTAGCAGTGCAATCTGAAATATCTACTTCAGGTTCTGGTCCTAACACACAAAAGTATTAATTTTATTATAGGCATATGCCCATGAAATCATAACACAGTCAGGAGCCTTAGTAAGTAGCCAAAAGATTATACACAAATAATCACCTTGGTGGGCAGATATGTTTCAAAAGAGCAAAATTCATCAATTCAAGCCACTGAAAAGCTCAAAACAAGCACGATTCACTGCTCTTTTAACCTCACAGCCTGCAACTTGCTCTTATAGACCTTCTACTTAAAAATAGTTGTTGGAAGTCTTTTCTTCAATTGTGACTCACGTGAACGTCCAGTTATAGTCATGGGAAACTCTCTCCATCATGTCCACTTTGGCCCCCGGCACACTGCAGATTGGACGGTTCCAGCTGTCCCGAATGCGCATGTAGAGGTTTCTGTTGTAGAAATTTTCAAAGTCCTGGTACAATGGGACAAAGTCCTGAAACACATCAAAAGCACTCAAAGTAAAAGGAAAATATATATTACAGCTAACTGTTTCTGTCATTCAGATGTAATTTATAGGTGAAAAAAACCATCAAGAAAACTCAAGAAAAAGTTAAGAGTTCTTCATCACAAGCCCTGAAACCAATTCCACCCAAAGTAGTTTTAACCTGGAAATTCATGCCACTGCAAAATAATTTGAAGGTGAGACAGCAGCAAGCCTGAAGAGATTCATCTGCTAGTGTAAAATCCATCTGCTAGATGTGATTTCCAAACTTTTTCAACCTGCAAGTCTACCATGCCCCCAAGATTTCCTAAACACTAGGTGCTTATTTGTATATAACTTAAGTAGCTTATAGAATCTAAAAGCCACCAACCACAATTAGGAAAAACAGTCATGGCATCAGGTCATGCTTCAAGTTAGAAAGTCTCAAAGAAGTCCAGCATATAAAAGAGGGAGTGCTGAAAGCAACACAGAAACTGAATTGGGAGCTTCCGATAACATAGTGAGGTCTTGTTCTCTGAACTCAAATGGGACTTGAAATACCTTGGCTCTCTTTCCACCTCTTGCTGGGTAGTTCAGGAGAGTATCTCTCAAAACACACAATAAGCCCCTTCGTGAAATGTATGGGCATATAATCTTTGCAAGAGATTTATATTCAACCTTCAGATTTAAGCAAAGCAAACGAACATGGAATTGCTTTTTGGCATCAAACAGTATGCATTACTCTACTGAATACACAAAGAATTTGAAAACTGAGGTAGTCTGCGTTTCGGTACATAAGAAATGCACTTAATAGCAGCACTAGCATTATTACAAAGGTTACCGTTAGAACTTTCCACAATTTTTTGTTCAAATCCAAGCTAGTAAGCTACATTACGGCACCTCTCTCCTGCACAGTTTATCGACATTTAAGTCCCACAGAATTTCTTTGCATAAGCATTTCCTGAATTCTAGCTTCCCTTCCGACATTTTTCAGGAAAAGTAAGTGACTGACTTGAATGGATAACACACAAGAATGTCAAACTAACTGTGACAGCAAGGATTTCGGAGCACTCAAGAACATTTTTTTCTAACCTACTTAAAACGCTCCAAAGTCATGAGATTTCCTTATTACTATTCAATTAAAAGTTTGGCATTCAGTAGTGATAAGAATGCATAGTTCATTTGCTATTGGGGGGGGGGGTGCCTTTTCAATAATCTACGAAAGGAAAAAGTAGAACGTATGATAAAGGTAAGAGCCAGTATTAGCATTTCTTCCTGTTTTTCACAAGAAATGCAAACATGGTACGGGGCATTTTATTTTTGGTGACAGGATAAGCAAGACAGAATATCTGTTTGAACAAATATTATGGTGCCTAACATTCGTATTACTGTAGCAAAACTGGAAGCAGTTCTGCCAGCTTTTTAATAACAACTCAAACAAATGGGGACTTACAAGCTTTTACTTACAATGCTCAACTGCAGGAAGAGTACTTTTTTTCTTTACTTTCCTATTTTAATGATTTAACAAGTTTGTCCTTTCAGTTTGGACAAAAGGAACCATCTAGGTCCACCCCTTTTGCATCCTCCTACCAGAAGCTGCACAGGAAAGATGGAGGCCAAAAGTGCCAACTTCTAAGCAGATATAGTTGCACCTAAGCCCCCTTCTGATTTGCCTGTGCATAATGACATGCCAAAAAGACACAACGATATTAATTATCATCATTTCAACTATGGAAAAACAAACCAAATTCAGCCAGTAAGCACTCCTCCAGAGAATCACAAGTAAGTCCTTTCTCAGCAAAGACAGGCAGCAGGAACAAGATTTCTATGAGCTGACACACACAGAAGGGCAATTACTTCTTCCATATTCCTCTACTTAAGTTTAGTTTTGAATTATTTCACATGTGCCAGGTCTTCTCTGAAGGTCCTTTGCCAAGAGAAGTTAACTGGGGTAGTAGGTCAGCTAAAACAAAGCTGTAATCCCCTAGAAAATCATTAGTTTTCTGAAGCTACACAGCTCTATCCTTCCTTGACTTCAGTGTCTCTCATTGTTCCAGGCAGAAAGTGGGTTTCATCAAGGCTGAATCACTAACAAACTGGCCACTTTTACAGTGGAGAAAAACATCTTGGTATTGACAAATGCATTTGAGAACTTCCTTCATATGTGAAAAGTTACATAACTACTGAACTGTATTACAAAGCAGTGATGTGCACGACAGCACTCGTAGCAATACACTGAGAAGATCCCAATTCATGACACAAAATTGAAATAATTAGCTACAAGTGTCTGAAACCCTCTGCTACATCACATGTAGAGGGATGGGGGAAGTGAGAAGATCAAAAAGGAACTCTGGCACATTAGAAGATCAATACTTGAGGGACTTGTACTTGTTATGGCTAATTATAATCTACTGAGAACCTTTTAAGCATTTTCAACTCCTCCTAACCATCTTTGCATGAGAATTCAGCTTTGCAGTAGTTATTCAAGCACACTAACTATGTGACCCAGGAAACAACTGAGACTTTAGCCAAGGTTCTTGGCTAGGAGCATAGGCTGGAAATGAGTCATTATACCAACTCAAGCAGGTATGCCTGGGCTGATAAGAGTCCAATCTCACCTCAGATTATTGATCAGATAGAGCATGTTTTATTTTGAAACCCAAGCTGACAATGCAGGAATAGCAACAAGCTCAACTGGCGAGATAAAGACAATCACCCACAAGTTGACACCACCAAGAGATATAACGCAAGCATGATCTTACAAGCCAACAGTATAACTAAGTTTAAAGTGATTTGACTGGGAAGTAGAGAAGTTCTCTGAGCCTAATGGATTATGATAAGGAAAAAAAGATGTCTTAAAAGGCAACAAGAATTCAAGGAACAAATTATGGGTAAGGGAAGTAAAGGTCTAATACAGGACACTAGCCTTAGTTTTTGGGGGTACCAAGCTGTAGGATTCTAGCAAAGGGATCTAAGTGAGGCTTCAGCTTAATGCCAGCCCCTTTGTTGTCCACCCTGTGTCCGTCCCCGTCGTCCGTCCGTCTGTCCCCTCCAATAAGCCACCCTCAGCTAACTCTAATGAGAAAGTTACCTGAAATAGGACAGGCAGGAAGTGTGATTTTGGCTTAAATCAAAACCAGATTGTCTATTTCCTCAGTAATCCTAACCCCACCAAGAGGTTCTCATGACCTATGCATCTGAGAATACAAAAAAGAGAAATGGTAGGGATTTCGTGCCTTTATAAACTGGTACTGACTTTTGGAGTTGAGAGCCCTCTTTTGGAGATGGCATACAGGACGAGATGGTTTGCCTGGTTGGTTTGGGGGTTGGTTGGTTTGTTTGCTCCCTGCCTCCTCCCTCCCACCCCCCGCTTCTTTCTAGCGTGACATTTCAGACAGAGAGTAGAGAGGACAGTATACCAAAAAGGCCACTTGAATTTCTCATGAAAATTAAATGTTTTCAATCTTTGAACCAAGAAAAAGCATCTAGAGAGGGAGGGGGGATGAAATCTATCAATCCACAGTATTTCAAGTTTTTGGCACATGGAGCCACAGTGCTGTGCTGCAACACTGTCCTACTGCTGGAAGCAATCACTGTCACCTTTAAATGGCCTTCAGAGCTTGTTGCTATTTTTCCATCAAGTTCTCATCCTATTTCAGATCTAACACTTTCTAACCATAACAGACCCTAAGAATATCAGCCTGAGATGGAACAGTTTCATTTGGAGGGAAAATATTCTAGGAGCGAGATGAGTCTTTCAGCAATCCTCAGAGTAAGCATAGTCAAACAACTGCAAAGGTTATACTGTTTCCAAAGGAGGGAGCAAAAGCAGCATGGTTCTTTTATTTGAATTCATACGAACATAGAATGGTTTGGGTTGGAAAGGACCTCAAAGATCATCTAGTTCCACCCCCTCTGCCATGGGCAGGGACACCTTCCACTAGAATAGAGCTAAGAAATCCTAAACAGCTCCATTCCTGTCGATTTAAGCCTAGAACACATCCCCTATTAATAAGGTGATCCCTGATGAAGAAACCTAAGTACTAGTGATCTCCCAGAAGCCTGAAAGGCATCGCAATTTCAAAAAGGAGTGAAACAAGGGAAGAATAAAATCGTCCCTTGGGGTGCAGCACCTTAGTATAGGTGATTTGGGAATCCAATATTTCATCATACTGTAAATTAATATTACAACAAAGTGAAGGTCATAACAAGAGCTTTGTAACCATTCGCTTGGGGCACAGTGACATGCAAATGCAGTGATTATGCTGCTTTTAGAGCCAAGTTTTCATAGCGTTGCACCTAAGCTAACAAATGGTGCCATGAGCACCAGCCACGCTTATCTGCAATTCACATAATGTGTTCCCTGATAATACACAACTGACTCTGAATGGAAATCAAGCAGACAATTGCAACAAATTTCAGGCTTCTAAAAGGAAGCAGAAAGACTAGTTCCATCTCGCTGCTACATGAGTCAAGAAAAAAAAAAAGCAGCAATAACTGGGTAGCCTTCATACATACCATCAGGAGGCCTCTGATGAGCTATACAGATGCTAAGACAACATTGAGCAAAAGACCTCAGTTTACTGCCCCTGAGATACTCCTACAGCTGGATCCCTGTGAACAAATGTTTGAAAACCCCAGATGCTAGAAATACATCCTAAATGGGCAAGGTACTGAGCATAAAGAGGTATGTTAGAGAGTTACCATCCCCATTTGCACAGGCAAATCAGACCAGAAGAAAGGTAAAAGTAGTTTTCACCCTGCCTATAAAATCCCACAAGCATTTTGCAGATTTAAACACATTGTATGACCAGACATTACATTAAATTGAGCATGCATAAATTGATTCCAGGGTAACCGAGAATTGTTAATCTTGCCGCTTACCCATGCCTAAAACATACTGATAATGCTTCACAGAGGATGTGCTACACAACACTGGTTTCCAGGAAAAGCCCAGTTGGATATATTTTAAACAAAGCCAAAACCCATCAGACTACTTCCTGGAAATGAGTACTAGCAAAGCCTGTCCCTTTTCACCCTTTTGTGTTCCAACAGTGAGTGAATATTAGGTTTTCCTGGAATCATTAATTTCAATGGAAGGCCCTAATAAATTCCAAGGAATTTACCCACCATCAGAGACAGTCCCAACACAGACCTGTCGGAAAGCCTGCTCTTTAGTTTGGTCACTTTTGGTTTCTAGTTCTGATGCACAGACTAAGATTACAATATTACGTGACAATTTAAGGAAGGATTTGCTCTACTGAAATAAACTGCCCTCCGAAACACACAAAAACTGAAGGTGGCATTTGTTTGTTTGTTTTTAATACTACATTTTAGACCTAAGTTTACCTTATGCTTTTAACTGTGATCACCTTCAGAAACACACCACAGAAAACCCATTTGCTTCAATTCCATGACTTTCAGGACAAGTTCATTCAGCCTTTTATGAGATACTTCCTCACACTACGTAATTTTTTTTGGTCACAAAGCAGGTCATCACAAACCGTTCAGCTACACAGCTAGTCCCATTGCCTTTGCTTTGAGCTTTTCACCTAAACAATTACGAACTATTTCATAAAGCTAACCCTTAAGAAAATCATAATCATCTAGCTGCCTCTTCAGAATTTAAATAACAAAAATGTTACTTTCCACACAGAGGTCACAAATCTGCCAGAGACTACCCCAGAGCTCTTGTGATTTGCATGTATTAAAAAAAGTGCGAGTTTCAAGCCTTTTCTGTGCACTAGTATCTGCATTCCCTTATGAAAAGATGATAGCGTTGTCAGCCAGCAGCTTGAGAGATTCAAACATTTGAAAATCATGAGAAACTGTTTCAAAACAAGTCATTGAGCACACCCCCCCCACCAAAATAAAACCTGGCTCCCACACTAGATACGCTGCAATGTGCTCTCATCAATTCACTTGCAGGCAAACAAAGCTTAAAGCAGCAAAGTGTGAGGATAAGTACTGTATGTTCTAGACCTCACGTGATCGCTTTTCTATTTGTCTGGTATCGGAAACAGCTATTCCAACCTAAGCACTAGAAACATGATTTGGGGAAGTACACTAGGCTGCGATTTCTTCAACACCAAAACTTTTTTTTAAACAGGATTTCCTATTTTTCATTCTTACGCAATGTTCACTGGCACTTCTTACTAGCTCCATCCACAGACATCCTATGTACAAAACAAACCCAGAACACATGCATCTCCTCCCTGCAAGCCATGACCAACACACAAATGGTTTCAAGTCATCTGTCTGGGAGGTGTTACTTGTTAACAAATGTCTTTCAGGGCAAGAGGCAATGCTAAGTTAATTTATAAAAAATTTCAAGGCTAAATTTCTTTTAGAACTAGGATAACCAGTTGCTAACGAACTCTGTGCTTCGATGTCCTCTGTGACCATCTTTACTGATAGCCTAACACCAATAATATATTCCTAAATTAGACCTACTGCTCAAGGTCTTCCTTTTGTACACCCTCATGTAAGAGTCATGACTGTTCCCACCAAAAAGGACTACTGTAAGCAGTCTTGCACCTTACACACAGGTAACAGAACAAGCGTTTCACAAAACCCGTGCAAAGAAATAACAGCTACAGTATACAGTAGCTGCACCAACACTTCAGTCACTCCTTTATAATCCTCAAGAACCATGAGTAAAGACCAATATTTAAACCTTTATTCTAATGTGGTAGATTTCTGCAACTGTTTGACTGTTCTATACACAGAAAAATACAAAGCTGTCATGGTCTCAGGTGACATAAACCAGAACAGCTCAAATGACATAATCGAACATGTCAAATTTCAAGCTGAGATTTAGCCAGCAATCCTTATTCGGATACTGTAACTGTTAAAAGGGATCCAAGATTTTTACTTTCAGATTCCAGAAGTCAGTTTGGAAATAGTGTAAATTTAAACTCCTGTACTTTTAACTAACATGAAATACCTTTTCCTCATTAAACTCCTAAGAGAATGTTTCTATTTTGGAATTAAGTGCCTTGCTATGAATCAGCTTAATTCCACCTCACAACGTTCACACAAAGAAGCTACTGTGAAGTAATTTTAGGCATTGGTTAGTTACTGCATCTTAGCTAATCTACCATAAGATGACATGCACTTTACTCCAGTGCTGCCTCCAAATAAGCCTTCCTTTTCTTTCTTCCCCCCTCCCACCCTTGATTATTTGTTTGCATTAATGAGATGTCCTTCCTGCCACCCCCTATTTTCTACTAGCCAACTGCTTGTGTGGCTGCACAGAGAACCAGAAATCAGCAACTGGAAAACAAACGTTTTATAAGTCAGACTGGCTCCCCAAAGCAGTTGAGAAAAACAGAACCCCGATCAGCAAGAGTAAGCCAATTCACTCCCCCTTTGGAGCAAAGCTCACTGGTATTCACACTGTGCTAAGAGGGCTCACACTAAGAGTTAGCAAAAAATAGCTTGTGAATTGCAAGTTTAAACAGTAGTTTTCTTAAAAGTAATTAATTCTCATGAGGAATAAAAGACTCTAAAAATGTTTTACAACTATTCAAAATTAGGATTATCTATTCCAGACCAACTGCTGAAGCAGGCAAGACTTTTCACCTGGTAACAGAAACTTTTTAAAATATATCTTATTATGAATTAATTCTTTTTAATTGCTATCAGTGAGTCAGGAGTCAGTACATCATATTACTCATCAGTTAACCTGCTAGTGTTCTGGACTCCAGATGAATTTAAACTCATCCAGCTCGTGCTATGGTTCTCATCCACAAGCTTTTCTTTGCAACTGCCTAGGCTAAAGAGAATTAATAGCATGCTTCCAAATCAAAACACAGCCACCAGAGCAGCACCAGAAAACCTCCCACTGCTGTCAAACTTAAACCAGATCCTTTGGTAAGCACTTCTTCAGCTGCTGATGCTGGCATATGCAGTCTCTCCCCCCCCAAATCCCTGTTTCTGCAGCTGGGGCATCTCTCAGCATGTTGATAAAACTGTTGATGTAGCTTTGCAGTGAACCAGATGAGAGAACTGCTCTGCCAAAAAATAACCCAACTAAAAAACCCCATTATTTTGTTTAACAACACAGCAGTACTACCTTAACATTTGGGGCATTCAGAAGACAAGGAAAACCGCAGAAAACTTTGAACAACACTGCTCCCCAAAGAAATGCTCAAGCTATAGCCTCAGCCACATCATTCCCCACTGATCATTATTTCCCAGTGGTTACCTTTTGTTCTTCTCTTTCCGTCGCATTTTGACACTTCTCAATCTTCCACTGCCGCATGAAATCTCGCAGATACCCAAAGAGAGTGAGAACACCATAGCCTACGTAGGTCAGCACAGCAACCAGCATTGGTGTTTCTTCAAAAGCTTCATTGAAAGGCCTTTTGTATAATCCTCCATTGTGCACAACATGATTTATCTATAGCAAAAATTTAAAGAGAGAGGCAGTTGTGAGATATACATTCAAGAAGTGACAGGCATTTCAGAGTAGTCCCTGGACCTCCGATCAGCTATAAGCTCTGCGTCCCCATCGCCCAGCTCAAAGTATTTCCAGCTAGGTTCAGCCATTACCGACAAAAACTGTCAGTCTCCATATACAAGGTTGCTAAATTGTTGATATAACCAAAGTTACCAATTTAGTACAGCATAATCTAACATCTCATTAAAGTTTTTCAGTTTGCGAAGCTACATAGAGAGCATTGCTTACATCCAGGCCAACCAAAATGAAAACACTGCCTTCCCCCTTCACCAAGAACTAGGTAAACACAAATAACAGTGCAGTGAGGCTTCCCAGGCTCACTACAGGCAAAAGCAAAATATAGAAGTGAATAGTTTTATTTAAGATAAAAAAATGTATTCTCAGGATTATGAGAACTAAAAAAGTAACTGGAAAACATCAAAATAGACTCAACTTTGGAAGCCTACATTACTGTAACAAAACAAGCATAATCTGTGTCTCCATAACCATTAGCCTAAAGATGCTGATGTAAACACTGTACTCATGGATGAGGTGGACATGACACCACAGACAAAAAAGTCATTGTATACACAGTCTCAACATTGCATATATGTCAGCACACAGAACAAAGCAAGGCTTTCTGCATAAAATCCACACTAAAAGTCATCTTGCTACTTACATACCATCTCCTGAAGATAAGAGCTTGCCTAGCTGTATAATACATGTGTAGCAACACTGGGGGGAAAAACATCATGGTTTTAACGAGACTACTTGTTCAAAGAATTAAGTTAAAGATCAGATCTCAAAAGTCAACATATCAAAACATAGAAGCCCAGCCATTAGATGCAGATTGCTATCTGTATTCCTAAAGGTTATAGAATAGCTACCCTGTAATAGAATAGCTACATGTGAAAGAACACTCTCCAAAACATAAATCCACCACCTGTAGCATCAACGGTGACAAGTCTTACTCCTTGCAGAATAAATCTGTTTTTGCCAGTGCTCCCAGGGTTAGGAAAATTACGAACTATTAGGTAATCTAAGCAGATTAAGATTGGCATACAATTCTGTAACTCTCTGGTATCCAAATATATTATGAAGGATGTTGCCAGATATGCACACGAGCAGCCAGAAGACAAGAAGGAAACCAAGACAATAAATTTCAAGAAATGCCTATATTAATAATAACACCACGATGAAAAGAGGGCTAGAACAAGGATTTATCTAGGATGTTGCTCAAATTTCTCTGGACTGTATTCAAATTGCAGTTTATAGCCAGATATAATAAGAAATGTATTTTTAAAATATTCTAATGCAAGAAATATCAACACCTAGGAAAGAAGTTGATCCTAAATTAATGAGAAAAGATAACAGCAAGTAATTAATGAGGAGTGGGGGCCAGCAGACAGAACACACACAGTTATTCACCTATGGCACTCATACTATCCTATGGGAAAGGAAGCCAGAGTTGCACTAACCTCTGTAACAGCTGATGAATCAATAAAAGCACACATACTTGCTGGCCTCACCAGACACTGCATTATTTGGAAAATGATACCTGCTCATCTCAGATGTCGAAGCAAGTCTGTATTTCAAGCCTGGCATTAATATCTTGAGAACAATTTTTCAGAAGCAAGGGTCTGCTGTTAGGATACAATTATGCTATAGCTATGCAGTCACTGAGTATAAACTGCACCACCACCTTCCTCCTGAGACTCCTTTCTACCTCTTCCCTTTTGCCCATACAGACATCCAGACAGCTGCAGAGCAAAACAAAGTTTCAACCACAGCAATTCCTCAGTTTGGTCACTGTAGTTGTGGGGACTTTAGAATTGGTGCAAGCGTGGAAACGAACCAGCAAAGACACCATAGGATCTTCTCCTTTAGCAGCAGCACTTACGCCAGATGCAAATAACTAATTTGCAGTGCTTTGAGGTCAGGTTTAATATTGAAGTAGTTTTAAAAACAAACTGCGTACAGCCATGGTTTAAGTTAGAAAATTATCATGCTTTGGAACAGGTGTAGGAACACTTGCTTACTACATTGCAGCTCAGATGATGGCAATTTAAAGCTTTAGCAAAGGCCACAGGTTCATACACTGCTTTCTTCAGGAACAGTGCCAGCCAAAGGAACTGTCCCCACCCTGCTCACTCCCACTTTGAGCCATCCGCACCACGCTCTGGCGATAGCCTTACACAACTAAAGCTAATCTCATTTTCAGTATAGCATCCCTCCAACACTGAACTGATCCAGGCTGGAAATATAATGGTTTGCGGAAGGTTATTTATTAGACCCTAATAGTTCTTACAGTACCACTCCACAAACTCATTTGATCAATCTCCGCAAACAAGAACCAGCAGCTGCTGGGAGAGAGGAGGGACAGCAGCACCGTGGCAATCGACAGACTCCATGAGCCAACGCTGCAGAGGAAAATCCATGAAAGATTTCTCTTCTCTATTACTCTTGAGGTTGCTTAACTGTATCACTATGGCTCCAATTCATGAAACTATAGAAATTCATTGCATCCAGATCTGGGAAAGATCACGCACCAAAGCTCCAATTACTACAATCTCACAGCTTGATGAATTAAAGTTGAAATTTGGTGTCCTCACACTGACAGACCAGGCTGTGAATAGCAGCTATTCAGGAGCGGGCACATGACATACCTGTTAACTGTGGCTGTCTACTAGTAGTTGATTTCTGGATAAGCAGACAGAAAACTAGTAGTGACTACTTCACAAATTACCTAGCCATCTAACAGAGATCTCAAAGCTTTTAATGTCTTTCCCAGGTAATGGGAAGTTCATCTGGAGGAGATGAAAGGCTACATCCTAAAGGTATGGATCTGAGGTTAACTAATAGCAAAAAATAGCTATTGGAAAGAAAACCAAACCAAAACAAACACAAACTTATACACAATTTTAATCACAGTAAAAGCATTACAATTTTTTCCAGGTCTTTAGAGGTGCCTCTGCATGTGTCAAATGCTAAAACTAAACAAGTTATTCCACGTGGTCAAACCCAACATGTGACTGAGAAAGGCCCTTTTGGGAATACCTGGATTGATTCAACACATGCTCCAATTAATTTCACCTCCCAGTGTTCTTCTACCAATGTGCTTATACATACTTACACTCTCACCTCAGCTACCACATAAGCCAAGAAGCTTCTATGCTGTCCTATCTCAATTAAATATTAAAGAAATACTCTGAATGCAATTCCACGGACTTTTCATGAAGCATACTATGACTATAAATACACTCTAGAATTGCCTACAGAAGAGACATTCATAGCCACATTTTGGATACAAGCCTATTCTTTTTTTCAAGAATGCCTTATGAATCTGCACATTAGCCTTCAAATAAAAGCTTACACACTGTAAGCTGCAAGCCTGCTGTCAAAGAGCAGCAAGTTCAGTTCCAGAAACCAAGAAAAAATGTGGGTACAGTTTAGCGATTCATTTCCTTTTCTGGGGGGAAGTGTGCAAGATTAAGACTTTTATGGTTTCAACAAGTCTTACGATAAAAAAAGTGAGCCATCACCTTTGAACTAGAATATTCTGCATATCTAAGTGGAGACCACAAAGAAAAGTCAAGGTTCACCCTAAGCATGTGGTTCAAAAAAGCAGGTGTATGCTCACATACATCTCTCTTTCCTGTACTGCCCAAGACCACATGTACACAGAAGAGCACTGTCACATTAAGAAACTCAACTGCAGGAGAAAAAAAAAATAAGCAGCAGAAAAAAAAATTTAAAAAAATCAGAGAGAGCACCACCCATCTGGTTACAGAAGGCAGCAAAGAGATGGCATTCTGAGTCAGCCACGAGTAAAGCCTGGGTTGGGCCAAGCTCTTGGGGAAACAAATCACATAAAACTGTATTCTAACAGTTACTGAGCAGCAGCATCATACAGCTACAGGTAGGAAGGACTGCACTGGTCTAAGGCAGAACACAGCAGGGAGTCTGATTATAATCATCTCTCCAACCTGGCAACAAACAGTTCCAATTAACAAGATGTTACATTACAAAACTGACTTCAGAGTTAGTTCATCCTGCGAATTAGAATCACTATAAGTAGCGTGGCAGCACGTCTAATACAGACAGAGGATGGGATTGTGGATGTACACATGCGCGGCACAGCTACACCCAACCTAATGTTCTTACCCAAACACTGTACAAAGTTACACTTTAAAGACCATGTTGGCCTCCAGATAGCATCAGATCTTGCCATGCCTTAAGGTTAAGCACCATCAGAATGAGACTCCAGCTCCACAGACAGAAGAGGTATTTCTGCCTATCCTGAATTATTCAAATTCTTTACTGACATACATGGAAAACATCTCACATAATACCCCTTTTGCAGTTACCCTCGCACGATTACAGGTCATCTGGCATTAGGGACAGAACAGTGTAATCTACACAAAAATAGTTCTCATTTAAGCCACCCACTGAGCATAAACTCACACTAGAATGTATCCAATTGCATGCTTTATTGATTACAACCTCCACTATCATATTAGATGTGAAGATAACTTTCTTATCAGAGCATTAAAAAATTGCAATTCATAAACAACAGTTAGCAGTAAACTTGCTTTTACTAGTACTGTTCACCATTTTCCCTTTTCTAAATTTGGACAGTAGGATCTTCAGAGGACTACCATACCTCACCCTGTCACGGATTTACAAAGCAGGTAAAATGAAGCCAGCAAACAGATACAAATCTTAGCGTTAATTATGCTTTCACAGCCAGCACCCAAAACCTGACTTTCTTTTCACTGAAAATTTATTTGCTATACCTGGGTCAGCAGAGAACTTGGATAAGAACTCATTCTAAAAAAAGTCATCATGGTAGAAATCAGGAGATGCAAAGCAGCGCACAAAGCAGCCAAACACCCTCAGACTGAAGGGTACCTACTCATGCTTAACTTTCATTAACTTTCAAAAGCATTAGAGAAGT